AACAACACATTTACGTTTTTGGCGGGAAGACGCAGAGGTCTTGCACCCGTCTGCCGTCACTGCTCGCGGGGGCGGTACTAAACCTAACGAATGATGGGAGTGTTTAAATCCTGTTTGATCTTTAAAGAAACTGACGAGCTATTTCATTATTGACACCAAAATCATAAATTTTTCGCGGACAAAACTTAAGGACGTGACTTAATCACAGTTATTTGGGAAACTTGCTTAATTTGGTAATCTTAGATAATAGATAGATTGTATAATCCAAAAATATACTTTTTCCCTAAGTTCTGTTTTGATCTTCAGCTAAAAAAATACATATTGTAAGAAATTAAGGATGTGGACACTGCACCAAAATTAGAAACGCTTAGTTCAATTATTTTTTGTCGAATTTGTAAAAGAAAATACTCATTAATAATGTTGTCCTCAAAATGGAACCTCTGTATATTTTCATGTAAAAAAAAATCAAAGTTCTATGTCATAAAAAACATATGATTTGCTACGCCGCTCAAAAAATGTGTTTGGGAAATTGACCCGTGTGTGCCATTTGGAAAGTGTATTGTCATAGTTTTCATACAAATGATACCAATTTCACGTCATTATGCTAACTTTACATGTCTTTACTGGTATAAACAATTTTCAAATACTACTAATCTGGTATACATTTTGTAGTAGGCGTATGAGTTACTTAGTCGTTTAGGGGCTAATTTTTTTAATCGTCAGATATCTTTTAACTGAAGATTTGTCATTTTGACATATTTCCCATACTGAAACTGTCAATCAACTTGGTATTATTCTATCATTTCTTTTTTCCTCGACTGCTAAACAGTTACGTCACGTCAGTGGGGTGCCAGTTTCCGTCGCATTAAGCCGCAACGACATGTGTAATCCTACGGAACACCTCATGAATGCATCGTTTGTCATCATCATTGCTTTTTTGGGGTCCAAATGTTGTTTTGGTAGCACTGGCCACTTTTTTACATCGTGAATTTTAAAACAAATGACTGTCAGTCAACTGTGAGCGAAAAACTTATTAGTTTGTATGTTTTTACTACGTTATGGCGATAATGAGTGAAAAAGTCGCATCGACATGTGTAATCCCACGGAACACATCATGAATGCATCGTTTGTCATCATCATCGCTTTTTTGGGGTCCAAATCTTATTTTGGTAGCACTGGCCACTTTTTCACTTCGTAAAATTAAAAACAAATGACTACCATTGAACTGTGAGCTAAAGGCTTATTAGTTTGTATGTTTTTACTACGTTATGGCGATAGTGAGTGAAAGAGTCGCAACGACACGTGTAATTCTACGGAACACCTCACGAATGCATCGTTTGTCATCATCATCGCTTTTTTGGGCTCCAATCTTATTTTGGTAATGCTGGCCACTTTTTTACTTTGTGATATTTAAAAACAAATGACTATCAGTGACAGTCACCATAATTTGGATGTTTTTTTTGGGGTCTGAAAATTAATTTGGTGACACTGGCCTCTTCTTCATAACCTTACCTATGTTATTTTTAAAAACAAATGACAGTCGGAGACAGCCACGTGGAAAGTTTACGCATCTCAGCCCAAATAGCTGGAATATTCATATTTTATCATCTCGTAATATTATTGTGTGATAGAGTTCTCAACCTCATAAATAGGTACTCTGTTTGTCAAAATCATCGTTTAATTAATTTTTTTTAGGGTTCTAAGTCCCAAACCTTAAGAAAAGAACGGTGGTAAAACTGGCCATCTTGTACCTTAAAATATGGTTAAATTGTTTGTGTGACAAGCCTAAACATTTCTTTAAGTAGTTAGATAATTTAATATCCAACGGTTAAACCGTACATGGTTATCAAAAAAAAATATGAGTCCCAAGATTGGTCAGGAGCAATTTCCCACAAAACATGCAGAGCATCTTTATCTATGACAAAACAAAGCATTACGCATTCCATACCCATGCCAATCACAAAACCAGATCCGGCCGTCCAATTCGCGACGTGTCCGAACAAGAAACAAATATTTATCAAAACCTGTAAGGAATACGTAAAGCGACATGTCCCGGTATGTCCGCGTGATGGATTATTGCAACTGACCGCCTCTATTTTGTATCGGAATAAGGAATTACCATATGCGCCTCTGAGGCTGGCCCGGCATCCGGCGGGGAGTGTGGAGGCGGACTCATTTTTTGCTTAATTTTGATGGGATTTTTTGAGACTGTCATTTAATTTTGTTTTATAATAGAAGAAAAATGATTTTGCATAATGGGATACAACCTTTACTTAACTGGGAGGTAACTAGATTTCAAGAATAATTTGTTGATTGAAAAAACAAACTATGATAATAATCCCACCTTGTTACCCTTCAGAATAACGACACGTATCGTTTTATACTTATTCACGTATTTTAGCATTTCATCATAATGCGGCCAAATCTTAATTAGAGATTTGAATTTACTCTGGGACACTTACAATAACAAAAAAAGGAACAGAAAAGTGGACATAATATAAAAAAAAAAAATAGTTAAATTGATGTTGATGATTGCTCATTGCTAGCTTTGCTTCAACCCTTCAACGGGTGCCCTTCAACGGGAAAGTGCACTGAAAAACAGAAATCATGCATCAAAGTTTCCTAAAAAAATGCTTAAAAGCCTATTCCACACATACCCAGCGTCCATTTCGGCGGTCGGCGTCGCGCCGGCGGGTGGGCACCCTTCACAAACTTCCATAATAACGCCGGCCGGTAATGTGACAGCCGATACGTCGCCACCGCCCGCCACTGGACTGTTTAAATTTCGAACGAGTTTCTTTTTATGTCACTGTCAGCGGAGGTCTAATAGAAAACAGGACTCAACTGGGATCAAATAGAGTGCTGGCCACTTTCACGTAAGAAAGAGAAAAAACAAAAGAATGTTAAGTTCCAATAGGAATTTTGAATTCCGAACTAATATTCTTACTCGATTTCAGTGTTACACATAATATTCAATAGAACGTTATATTGGGCTTTGGTGCAAATCTCAATTCTTGATGATTCTAAATTATGTCGCTACTATTTTTTATCATAATTATTTCAGCCTAAGAGCCGATAAGTTTTTTTTAAGTTTGAATATAGCAACCGGGCATAAGTAAGTATAATTAAACTTAGATTTTTAGGTTCAAATTTAAGAAGCAGATTATTCTAAGTAAACTTAAAATTGTAAATACTTACCTGAAATTAAAGTTAAGCAATTATGATTGCTCATAAAGTCTTACACTGAGCACCTAGCATTGTTTAGACATAAATAAGAGGTTAAAAGCTTTTTGTGTTAAAAAAACTCACACTTACTAGTGGTAATTCTTACAACCATAACGTCGTAACACGAAAACTGTCGTATCAGTCAAAGACATGAAAACATTATTTCAAAAACTGGCCCTATCCTCCGGGGCCACGACGTCATTACAGGCGGGCCAAGGATCGTATGCATACGAAATCGCCCTTATCAGTTATGCATAATGCGGGACCCCAAAGGTGTGCAAAATATTGCAGCTGTAAAAGGTGCTTTGTTTTGATGGTTGGAATTTCTGGAATAGTTTTGACTATATTTTCCTTACTTTTTCAGTTTTACTGAGTGAGAACTATGGATGTGTCCATAGTCAAAGACCATAAAAAAATATTTTATTGTTCATAAAAATAGAGAGAACGCTATCATAGTTATTTTCATACATCTACTGTACTCTTCGTATACTTAACATACTTTAGTACATATTTTTTAAATATTCGTATTAACAATCAACGTGTTAAAATACAGTAAAATCAAAAGAAAACTTTAAGCTTTAGGTACCTAAAGATTTTTGTCATGTCGAAAAAATACCCATAGATATGAAAAAGAAAATTACTCTCAACTCTTTCTTTAACAAATAAAATATAGGTAACCTAAACCTAACAAAACAAAAACCAAAAAATACCATCCTGTTTATCAACCGCATGTGACAATTCCCTCAGATCGTGATAGGCAGCGCGCATCGCAGAGTGACGAGCTGATGTGTTTTGTTTTCTCAATTTTACTTATTGCGATGCTCTACTGTTTTCGTTATTTTTGTGCCCTGTGGTGCACAGAGCATAAGGTGCATAATTCTGCAAGCATTTTTTTGATAACTATTTGCCCTTAATAAGAATTTGATGGTTTTTTGTTTCCAGAGCTTCATTAAAACTAGGTATAGAATATCATGTTAATACCGCCTTTTTTAAAAATAAATGTAATATGCCTCGATATTAAATTAAAAACTATTCTAGCGTACATACAGTCAAAATACTGTTATAGGTCTACCAGAATCTCATGGCATAAAAAATATTGGAAAAGTGTGACAACAAAGTTTATGTTCTCCATTTACCATGAGATTTTGGTATACATTTATAGCTATGAAATTCATTTTTTCAATTCTTAACAATGATTTCCATTGCATAATCGTATCTACTTCATTATCGTTTATAATTGAAATCTTATTAAATGAAATCTTTTCCATCTTATCTAAACATAATTTTCTTTTAAATTCAATCGAGATAATGTAAAATACAAGTAAAATAATATATCCAATTTCCTTAACATCTTTCCAGCAGCACTCTACAAGTCCACTCCAACTGGGAAGTCTCCTCGAGGGTAGTTTTAAAAGGCGTTCCGAGCGAATCTTGGACGTAATGAATCTTGTTTACAATCTAACGAGACGTTCACACCTTAATTAATTCAGGGAGTAAGAACTTAAATTATTTTTATGTATCTACAAGTAAGTAATATCCTATTGATATTATTGATAAGAAAAGAGTAAGTCACTCTACAAATACAACATAATCAGACAACATGATTAACTTTTATCTTATTTTTCTCTTTTTGGTATTTTTCTACTCCTGAATCACTACATTTTTTCAGTGAGCAAAATTAACCGTGTTCTTTTTTTAAATTTTACTACAAATTCGCGCTATGTCGTAACTATAACCGCACTTTACAACAAATCCGAAATAGTGACTCTAGGAAAATGGCGGCGTCGCCGGCGTTAAATTCAGTTTGTGACAGATCGTTCTCTCCCAGAATAATTTTAAAAAATACTGCATATTTTCATCAAATGCCACGTTTAATTCTGTAAGGCTGGGTTGCACCATCTTACTTTAACTTTAACAATTGTCAGAAATCTGTCAAACTCCATACAAAACACACCGGTTATCGTTATGTTTACGGTTAAAGTCAGGTGGTGCAACTAAGACTTAGTCAAAAGCTGTTATATTTTTTTTTAATATCCTTGCCGCTGGTCTGCCAACACTTCCTAACAAACCCTCTCCAACAGTTCGAAGACTCCTCGAGGGTAGTTTTAAATCGCGTTCAGCGCGTAATGAATCTTGTTTGCATCCTAACGAGCCTCACACGTCTAGACTCTATTAAGCAGCGTTTTACGATTAATTAGGTATTCCAGTCTTTTTATATACGTACAATTTTATCTCTCATAAAACCTAAGTAACTATTATAAAATCATTAAGTAGAAAAATCAAAGTATCTTCTCTAATAATTTCATTTTGTCTTCATACTTCAAATAAGTAAATCGTGTCTCGGTTTATGCCCGAACCGTTAACACAAATATTTTTTTATTTATTTATTTTGGAATACCACATGTTTGGGTGTGACTTTTTGCATAAAAAAATTCAAGACAATAAAAACTTGGGTTTTTTCTCATCAATCAGTGAGAACACAAAAGAAAAAAAATAATGAAATTCCCAAACTTAAAAAAAAAACAATCAACGCGAAAGCGTATCTAAAACGGCACCTGCCCAACAAATCACCGATGGCGACACTTTTAACTAACTCTGACGCAGATCGGTTTCCAATTAACACGGGCTCCCTCTCATTATATTTTTAATTTGAGGGCGGAATCCCAAATTAAACCAGAGACGTCAAAGGACAAGCCCTGGTGCCATTAACGCTAAATAATTAAAGAATTCGACCGTCTTCCAGTCGTTAGACGAAATTAAGGAACCGGGTACAACTTTCCAAATTTGATTTAGGCACTAAACTTCTTTTGATATCACCGAAGTTTCTCAAAAACGTGTTTCCAATTAAGTTTCAGTTTGCAAACAGTTGGACTCGCTGTAAGTATTTAGCTTTTAGTACACAGTCGAATTCAACTAATTAACTGTGCGGGGAATAAGGCTCGGGCACACTGTTGGCAGGAGCACTACGATTTTTCATTTATAACGGCCGAATACTGAAACACTACTCAAATCTGTCACTCAGCTGACGGGCTCCTAAATTTAAGTATCCTTCAATTTTAAATGGTATTCTCAAATGCTACTCAACGGATTTGAAGCCGTGATCAGCTAAGCAGCTCTCAAATGTTTACATAATGGCAACATTTATCAAAAAAAGTATGTTTTCATTTACACAAATGATAACTTTACGTCTTTTATCCATTACACGCAGCATCGTTTGGTTATGTATTGTCTTTTATGGAAATAATACTCAATCAACTTAACATAGAACAGTTTATTTTTAGTTTCTATTATATATAAATCTCGTTTTATCACATAAAAAAATTAATGCTTACATTTTTATTTAATTAAAAAAATAATTTTAAGGGTGATACTTTTTATTGTTGAAATCTATTAAGTGGCGATCGTGGACCGAAACGTAACCACAATT